GTCCTGCACATTCTGGTGCATCATCAGAGGCCTTGACTTAACATAAGCAAAGTCATTTGACCAGAACAGTTTATATAAAAATGGTGCTTTAAAAACATTCAATCAAATACTTCTTAAGGATTTGTTGTTTTAAGCGTTGGATGTAGGTGACAAGTGGATAATGAGTTAGCGCTTAAGTCAAAGGCAGTGACGAACTAGGTTTTGCTAGGTTTAGTATAAGGATTTGTGGTGATTAAACTTTAAGACGCTTAAGATTGCATCCTTCCAAGCATTTCAGTGCATGTGTATGTCCCTCTCCCCAAGTAGGGGCCAAGTCAGTCTAGGGGAACAAAGATTGTTTTTTAGCAAAAACATGAGAATAGTTCAACCAAATGACTAAAGAATCTGTAATGTTGTGAATAGCAAGCGCAGATGTGGAGTTTGCTAAGGAAGAGATGGATGGACATATGTTTATATACAGACAGGTTTTTTCTTAGTTTTCAAACCCAAAACAAATACAAAGTGATAAAGAGTGAAGACCGTCAGCCTTTAATGTGACGAATTATTAATGTACTCAGCACAATACAGTATGCAGTAACAAGATTGTTTAACATATTTCTTTCTTCAGTGTTGCAGTTTTAAGTTATTTAATTGCTTCTTAGCTTTCAGTAGATTAAAGGTTCTACAATATCTTCTAATTTGACAGGGACAAGTGCTCATTTCTTAGTGGCGATGAGTGAATACAACCGGTAGTTTCTTTTTGCTAGCATATAAAGGATTGGTTTGATAGCAGTCGCTGGGTTGACCAATATGCAGAACAAGAGGAAAGTCCAAGTAACTCGTTGAAAATCTAAGACGTAGAACTGTAAGTTTACTTCCCATTTGGGAAGGTCTCTTGGTGTCATTTCTAAACATCTGTAAATTCTGATCTTTGGCTCAATTCATTTCAACTGGTTACAAATACAAGTTATTTGTATATGTCCACACTTTGCCAAAAATCTAGAAGAAAACCCAAAACTGTTTCCTGAAATGAGAGGAAATTGGTTAGGTCCATACACAGTATATAATTTTCTTTTGAGTTTTATCCTTATTTTTATTTGTATTTTATCATATACATCTGTATTTATGTAAATACGTACACTATAGCTCTTAACTATTACAGCGTAATATTTTGCACGATATGATGCACAGTCGGGGGGGGAGTACTTTTTAGCCGGAAAAAACATTTCACTGTGTGTTGTACTAGTTATAACTACATGTGACAAATAAATAAAGAATTGAATTGAAATTGAATTGTTTATTATTTTTTAAATCCAGTTCTTGGCAGGCTTGAGCCTTGGGTTGTTCCTGAACAGC